GTGTGCCACCCCCTGAGGTACCTGAGCATCGTGAGCACGAAGCTGTGTGCCCAGCTGGCCCTGGGCACCTGGGCAATAGGGCTTCTGAACTCCCTGCTGCACACCTCTCTGGTTTTCACACTCTCTTTCTGTGGTCCTAACAAAATCCAGCAGTATTACTGTGACATTCCTCCCGTGCTGGCCCTCTCCTGCTCGTCCACCCACAGCAGGGAGTTGGTGATCCTGGTGGTGGCCGGGGTGCTGGGGAGCAGTGCCTGCGTGGTCACCGTGGTCTCTTACCTCTGTATCCTCCTGGAAATCCTGGCCAGGAAGTCCCCTGGGATCTGGCACAAGGCTTTCTCCACCTGTGGTTCTCACCTGGCCGTAGTTTGCCTTTTTTACGGGACCACCATCTGCACCTACGTCCGCCCTTCCTTCACCTATTCCCCACACTGGGATAGGGTCGTGTCCATGCTCTATGGAATGCTCACCCCGCTCCTAAATCCCATCATCTACAGCCTCAGGAACAAAGAGGTAAAGTGTGCCCTAAAAAGAGTGATCAGCCAGGTGAGAAGGGCTTCAACAAGACAAGAAAACCTCGCTGAGTCTCCACCGTCAGCTGGGTAGAAATCACAGTTTGTGACTGATCCTCTCTAACTTTCAGACATCTAAAAATTAAATGCTGGAATCCACATTCATTTTCTGGGCTGAAAACTCCTCTGGACTGAAAACTCCTTCTTTTGGCTCCCTCTGCAGTTAGAAGGGAGAGCTGTGCACTTCCAGAATTGCATGGCACAGCTTCAGGCCATTTTCACATGAGAAGAGTCCAGCTGGGAATGCTGTTCTCCACTGAGCACTGAGGAAGCTGAGGTGAGAGCAGGCAGGTGTTGGATGCATATTTTAGGGCAGGAATTCTGGGAACTGATACTCAGGCACACATAGATGCACTGTATGAAGGCAGTTTATATCCCTTTCAAAATTAAACTCCAAATATATTAAATTCTGTTTTATGGATCAGCTCTCCCCTCTCTCTCTCTCTCTCTCTCTCTCCTTGTTGCGTGTCTGTTGTTTGCTGGAATCACCAGAGTTCCACCTCTGGAGCCATGTTTGCCACTACATTTTTCCTTTTTCCCATTTTTTCTCCTTGCTGCATCAAATCCTAATGGAGAGAGAAGTGATGCTGCTTCCTGCAGCTCATCCCCCTCTTCACTACCTCTGTTCTTTGTGGAGAAGTAATAAATAATCCGTAAAAATGCTGAGATTATTCTCACTCGATTGACCCCCAAAGTTTATGATTAAATAGGTTTAATAAAATCTCTTTTATTTAGCTACATATGGCTCTGAATTTTTAAATACTTTCACTCTGTGATGAGACTTTGTATTAATTGTAGCCTTAAAGTGTCTGAAATGCAAAAGAAATTGTCAGTGTGAATGAGATTACGACTGTGAGCAGGATATTTATGAAGGAAAAAAAATCCTTGTTGCAGCTCTTCCAGGGCTCTGAATGGCAGCACAACCAGGGCACGGGAGTTGGATTTGTTTTTATGCACAACTTTACTCCTGACTAGAACCCCTGGAACATGGAATCTGTTCCAGGCTGTTGATGGCCCCCTTGGGATTTCCCAGGCACTTCCACAAGGTTCTGAGGGACTTCTGCCAACCACAGGTTGCTGGCCAGGGGCAGCTGCTGGTGCAGCTGGTGAAGGATAATGATGAAGGATCAATTATCCTTCAAATTCCTGCCATAACTTCTGCCAACCAAGTGGAGGACTAGAGAGGTGTTGGCCAAGCCATGAATTCTCCAAGATGTGGAGAAGTTGAGACAAACTGAATTGCTTTAGAAGTTTTCATTTTCTTTAAAAAGGAGGAAAGTTTCCTTCTCCTCAGCGCCCGTGAAATTATGCCTGGGGACTTGTTAGAAGGATGAGGGAGGTCCACCAGGAGCTTCCTAAGAAGGTTTTGAGATCATTAGAGTCTTCTTCAGGATGCCCAAAAGGGCTTATTAAGATGAAGGGCCTTGGGTGGCTGCTCCCTGCAGGACTGGAGAATGCTCCTCTTTCCAGAGGTGATGGAATCCAAATGCAGCTGTGTGGAGAGATGCCTAAGGATGGACATCAGCCTGTGTGCAATTCCAAACCCTGGACGCCTTTTAAAAGAGGCATCTGAATTCCAAAGTACGAAACTAGAGCCTGATTTTCAATGTGTGTCCAGATGGGAGATTTTGATGCCTCTCCTGGCTTGTGAAGGTGGAAAGGTTGGATTATCAAGTCTGATTCTGCTGCAGTTCCCTCCCTCTCCACCCACCCCAGCCATGTGCTCCCAAAAAGATCCACTGTAAGGAGCTGCTTGCTGCCAGTGGACCAAAGAAGGCTCACAGCAAAAGCTGGGATCGAGTCTTTGGGTAATATGGCAAGGAATGTGTTCCTTCTTTTCTCCTTCTTCCCCAGAGGAGCTGTGGCTGCCTCATCCCTGGAAGTGTTCCAGGCCAGGCTGGATGGGCCTTGGAGCAACCTGGTCTGATGGGAAGTGTCCATTAGAGGTTCACTCTTTGCCATCAGCTGTATCACCCCTTCACGAATCAAGGAGCTAATCCCTAAATATTCCTCAAAACCGAGACATCCTCTTTCATTTTCCTCATGCCCAGTAACCTCTGAGACTGGAAGGAGACAGCTGTGATTTTCTTTGGCACCACTGGAAGAATTTAGCAGGTTAGGATCATAACACACTCACCCAGTTTCTGCTCCTCTTTTCCCCAAGTGTCTATTTTTGGCTGCTCTTGGAAATCAATACCCCTGGACTGACTCATCAGCACAGAGATCCTCTTACATTCCTAGAAGTGGAGCTGCCCTGCTGGAACAGGGGTGGGAGTACACAGAGCACCAAGTAAATCGAGGAAAAATACTCTGTCAATGAAATTCCCACATGAGTGATCTTCTGTGCATTCACACTTTGTTTTTGCCACTGAAAATCAGATTTCACCTATTATTTGCTAATCTCATATAACTAGTGAGAGATCATTTTCATTTATCTATTCCTAAAGATAAAGAATGCCTGAAATTCTTGATGTGCCTTCAAAAAAAAAAAAAAATACAAACCAAACCCTACAACAAAACAAAACTTTCTTTTTCCTTAAGCAAAGTCCAACTATTCAACTATATTATTTATGTGTGGATTTTATGAGTTGCAACGAAACTAGAGCAGATTTTCCTCTCTAATTTTTTTTTTGTATGGTGCTGGCAGATATGAAAATATGCATCATAAAAGAGGATGTGAATGATTTATTTTTCTCCTCTAAAAATAGCATCCACTTGTGAAATTCAGGTTGGGCTGCAGTTCTGGCTTTACAATTCCCAAGACTTTAGGAATCAAAAAAAAAAATTCTATTTGGTGTGTCAGTGCTATTTTCACCTATTTTTAGATTCTTATACAAAAAATGAATTCATAGAATCAAGGCTCCTTGTGAAGAGAGACTTTGTCCTCTCTGTGGCCACCCTTTAAACACTTGGCTTTAAATGGCTTTAAGATGAAGGAGGGAAGGGTTAGATTGGATATTGGGGAGAAATTTATCCCTTTGGGGGTGGTAAAAATCTGGTTGCTTATTAATCCAATTTTAGATAGCTTTGTCTTACCTCACTCAAGGGTAACCACCTAAAATTTTGGAATTTATACTGCTCACCCAGGCTTCCTTTTACTGTCCTGCCTAGAATTTATCCTGGCATCAGCAGAAATGTGTATTAACTTTTGCAAAGTTAGGGTTAAATTCTGTGCTTTTTCTTGTAAAGTTAAAATAATACCCAGAATTCCTTTCTTAGCAGACTGAATCCAATTCAAATTCAAGTTTCAGGTAAAAAGGAAGTGTGAGGGGAATTGCTTGGAAAATCAAAAGATATTTGGGTTTGAATAGTTAAAAACAATGCTCATGGCTTGCTTTCCATCAATTACTTAAGAATTAATCAGCCTCAGGAAAGTAATTGCACCAAATATTTGTGAGAAATCCCAGAATCAGATGCGACATTTAATATTAAACTTGGAAAACTAAAACCTTTTGTACAGAGAAATACTTCCTTTGTTTGCCAGTTCTGCCATACCCTCTATAAAGAAAGGAATAAAATTTTTATATATTTTATCATATTTTTATGGCCTGTTCTGCTGTCACCAAACATCTTTCATGCCTGTTCCCATCCTGCTTTCTTGACGACTTCACCACTTTCATATTTTTCCATTTTTCATTTTTCCATTTTCTCTTTTTGCATGTAGACCGCAAGTCCTGGTTTCTTTTATCATATTTTTATGGCCTGCTCTGCTGTCACCAAACATCTTTCATGCCTGTTCTCATCCTGTTTTCTTGATGATTTCACCACTTTAATGTATTTTTCCATTTTCTCTTTTTGCGTGTAGACCACAAGCTGTGGTTTCCCCTCCCACAACATAATTAGGTTTTTATTTCTGCTTAATTGTGTTACAAAAGGCTTGTTGGTGGTTATGGGAATGTCCAGCCTGAAGAAGGGAAGGCTCCAGGGAAATCTTGGAGCCTTCCAGTGACAAAAAGGGCTCAGGGAGAGCTGGACAGGGACTTTGGACAAGGAGTGACAGGACAAGCAGGAATGGCTTCAAACTGACCGGGGATGGGTTTAGATGGAATACTGGGGGGAAAACTCTTCCCTGTGCGGCTGGTGAGCCCTGGAGTGGATTTCCCAGAGAAGCTGTGGCTGCTCCCTCCCTGGCAGTGTCCAAGGCCAGGCTGGATGGGGCTTGGAGCAGCCTGGGATAGTGGAAAGTGTCTCTGCCCATGGAATGTGATGGTTTTTAAGGTCCCTCCCAACCCAAAGACTCTGTGATAATCAGGACTTTTATAAACACTGGACATGGTGATTTCTCAGAGGAACCAAATGCTGTGGGTATGCCTGCTCCTTATAAAACCTAGGATGCAATTTGACTCTTCTGTTGCAACATTTCATGTTTGGCACAGTTCCACCGGGATTATCTCAGTGTGTGCTCCTGTTTACACAGCCCCGGGCACAGCCCTCACTCACTCCCCCGCCTGACGGGGAATGTAAGGGAACAGCTCCCCCGCGGCCATGACACCCGCCCGCGCCTCCCGATGACGTCATCCCCACGCGACACCGACGCCGGATCCCCACCCGGTGCTGCACCCCGGCAGCGCTGCGGGACGGCGACAACCACCCTGCAGTGTCCGTGAGGAGACAACAGGGGTGGAGCCGCCCCGCCGAACCGGGCAGAAGCCGCTGGCAGGCACCGCTCCGCAGTCGCGCCGCTGAGACTACAACTCCCGGCGTGCCCCGGGGCAGCGGCGCATGGAGCGCGCTGATTGGCCCGCGGGGGTGCGGGGGGGCAGCGCAGCGCGGGCGCCCCCATGTGGCGGCTCGGCCGGGCCGGGACCCCCCCGGGATAGCCCGGGACAAACCAGGACAAACCGGGATAACCCGGGACAAACCGGAACAGCTCGGCTGCCTCCCGCTCCCGTGCCACGGGCCTCGCCCGGGCTGCCTGAAGGGACCCCGTGCTGAGTGTGGTGGCTGGCAACGGGGCCAGGTGCTGCGATCCTTCCCTTCCCTTCCCTTCCCTTCCCTTCCCTTCCCTTCTCCCCATCAGGAACCTCCTCATGGACCACCAGCTCTGAGCTCGATCCGTCCCTTCCCTTCCCTTCCCTTCCCTTCCCTTCCCTTCCCTTCCGACAGATGGTTCCAGATGCCTTTCCTTTCTCCCTCCACCCCTTTTCCAGCTCTCTGCCTGTCCCCTGACACCCTGGGCACAGGATTTTCCCTCGTATCCCTATTCCTCTTGGTCGCTTCCCTCCCCTCTCGCTTTCCTTTCCCTTCCCTTCCCAGATGACGGTGAGCGGGAGGAGCTCTGGGACACAGCAGGGAGATTCCTCCCTTCCCAGGCAGCCTCTGGCAGGCAGGTGAGGTGGAAGTGTCACTTGGAAGGGTGCTGGGAGCTTCTTCAGCGACCAACTTCCAATAGTGTCCTGTTTGTTGACTGTAATCTTAGTGCTGGAACACGATGGGAATGTTAACAAAATTCCCGTAATCTTCATGGAGAGAGCTGTAAAGGACAGCATCCCTCAAAGTGCAACAGAACTGAAATTGCAGCTGATTAACCTTTGATTTATTTCCTGGTTTATGGTATAACACAAGTTTTTTCAGGTGAAATAAAGATGCTTTTTTAATCATGACGTTCCTAGTTTGTTTCTTGTAGATACCAGGCAAAGCACGTTGTCTGAAAATGGAATGTTACATCATTCCCAAGGAGGAGGATGAATAAAAGTCATGTGATGGTTGGGAAGAGATCCCACCCACTTCCCAATTCCTCACCCTCGAGGTTTGGCTGCTTTTGGAGGTGCTGTTGCTCAATCCTCATCCTCCCACCTGACAGGAAAGCAGGAACTGCCTGAAACAGAGAGATCTGTCTGGTTTTGTGGAGGGTGATGTGGGGAATGGGGTAGAACTGTTTTCTCTCAATTACTTCTGGAAAAAGCCACTTCTGAAGGACCTGGAAGAAGACGAAGAGAAAGTTTCCAGCTGATGTAAAGTAATGGTGGTATCACTTTCTCTTCCTATTCCTCAGCCTCTCTGCACTGGTGCTTCTCATGCTGGATGTGGCTGTGAAAACACAGATTCTGGTAAAAACACAGATTCTCAGTCCCCTTCCTCCTTCTTTTCCAGTCTCTGGAATTCCCAGCTCTGTTCCCATCCTTGTCACTGTAGGCCTGTGAAGTGGCTGTGTGAGAGTTTAGGTTAAAATAACGGAATAATTATTATGGAATAATAAATATTAATATATAATATTATATATATTATATATTATATCATTATGAATAAATATTTCCTGAAATAAATTCAGGAAATGCTCCTTTCTCTGGATTGAGCTGCTTTCCTGGCCTCTGGAATCTAGCAAGAAGGGATTGAACCTTTCCCACCTGAGGAATTTTGTGGTGACAACATTTTTCACCACAGCAAGGCTGGTGATTCGAAGGAGAAGGGTTTCCAGCAGAAAACTCTGGAAGTGGATGTTTTCTGACAACCTCCCTATTCCTCTTGAAATGCTTCTAGATATGTGGAGGGCAGTAGGGCCTGGTGACTCCAGAGCAGATCAGAGTAAACACAGGCAGGGAATAAAGTGGGAATTGCCTTTTCCAGGCAGAGTCCACTGGTAGTTAAACCTGCCTGAGGCAGGGATACAGGCAGGAATTCCAAGAAAAGCCTGGTAGCTTTTTTTGTGTGGTCATGCTGAGCCTGCTGGTCTTCATTGAACAAAGTTCCCTGGATGAAGTAACAATGCTGCAATTCTGGCTTCTTTTTTCTTCTTACTCAGAGACTGTTTTCCGTGGTGACCTCAGAAATATCCTCGTGGTTTTGCATCCCTCTGCTCCCTCCCAGTCTGTTGTTTCAGCTGGTGTCAGCCCATTGCTCAACCTGAACCTCCTGACTGGAGAAATGCTTTGTCAGAGAACTCTTCCTTCTGGGCCTGAGTGAACATCCTCCCTGCCCCTCGGGGTCTTGGCATCTTGGGGAAATTCTCTGTGATCACCCTTTGCCCTCGAGTCACTGAGCTCCTCCCTGTGTCTCTAACTCTGGAGCTTTCAGACCCACCCAGTGCCCAAAAGAAACTGGTCAAAAATGCTGTTTTCTGCTAAGTTCACGGCCTGCAGAGACTCTCTAAGGGGTCAGCAGGGTGGCTGGAGACAGGGAAAAGAGACAAACGAGGTGTGGGGGTGTTTCTGTGAGGAATGTAACATACAAACACCCCCACACAAAACACTTTTTGGCCGTGGGAGTGTTTCATCTTCTTTCCTCTGAGCCTGCTGTGGGTTGTGTCCCTGCTCAGAGGCTTTTAGAAGGAGCCAAGAGCACCAAACAGAAGGCAAGGAAGGGCCTGGCCTGTGCTAAGTACGTGTGGAGCGGAAATCTTTTTTGTTTGTTTTTACTTGTCAGACTGGAAAGTTCCCGATTTGAAGTTTCAGTCTTGGTCATTGCTGCCTATTTAGACACGTTTGTGGCCATGCATGACTGAGCAAGCAAGTGGGTGGAAGATTCCTCAGGCCAGGCAGAGCACTCTGGCTGCTGGCTGAGGGGACTCTGAGGGCTTTGCCTCCACAGCTTTTATGGCAGCATCTTCCCAGGACGCTGACCACAAAGGCCAGGGTTTCTGCCCAGGTTCAGGGTTCTGCCCAACCCAGCTGAAACAGCCCCGTGGGATTGCTGAGGGGCTCCTGGGGCTGTCCTGACCCCTTATCTCCCTGTCCCACCGAGTGGGTGGCCTCTCTGTCCCTGCTTTATGGCCTGCTGGAACGCTGATATCTGTGGGCATGGCCCAACATCTGCTGAGCTGAGCACGACAACATCAACACAGTCCTGAAGGCCAACCCGACTTCAAGTGTCACGGCCATTTCTTACCACAACAGAGATGGTTTCCCCTGGTTTATTTCCCTCTCTCTGTGCAATTTCCTTGCTTTTTCCCCCCCAGTTTGTTCAGTGTGTGGGGACAGCACCACTGGATCTCTTCCCCACCTTGAGGAAGGAGCTGTGTCCAGGACAGCTCTCCATGCTTCAGCACTGCCTCGCTGCCCCACAGGCAGCACAACTTTTTTAGGCCCAGCTTGAGCCCCTTGAGCTGCTTTTCAGTATTTTTGCTTTGATGCCAAGGGCCTGAACGTGGCTTAGGAGGAAGTTGGACCCAGCAGGAAAGGTGGATGTGGAACCTGTGGAGTTGTGGCTGCGCCTCTGCATGAACCACAGGAGTGTTTTCAGTGTCCCCTCCCAGCACAGCACAGCAGGAACCAGCTTTGCCCAGAGAAAACTCTCCCTGTGCCTCCCCTCTGCTGAGAACATCCCTCTACATCAACTGAATCCCTTCACTTCTGCTGAATGAGCCATGGAACGAGTTCCTGGAGAGACCTGCCCAGCAGTTCGGGGGTGCCCCCCACCCATCCTGCCCAACAGAGATCAGCCATGGGCCACTGCTTGTTTTTGTGCTGTTTTATCAGGCTGCTGCATGTCCTTTAACTGCCAGCTCCTTGTAAAAGCTTGTTTCTTCTCCTCATGCTTGAAAGCATTTGCTGCTCATCCCTTTTTGGGTGGCTGAGTATAAAAAGCAGCCTCCTCTGAGAGATTTAGTGTCTGCTCAAACTCAGTGCTGTACTAAATCCAAGGAACACCTTTGTGCATCCTCACAAAATTACCTGATGGTCTCAGGGGGGAGAAACCTGTTTGTCTCTTTGATTCCGAAGTAAAACTTCTTTTAAAAAAAAGAACATTTCACCCATGTGTCTAGAATCAAAGCTGCCTGGTGATCCATGAGGGCTTCAACACTCACCAGTGTTTCCCAGGGGAATTCATGCTCAGAAGGAGGGGATTTTTTTTGTGGGGTATTGGGAAATTTCCCTGTAATTGTTGACTTTAAATGGGTGGTCTATTTGCAATTTTTGTACAGTATTTAAAGAAAAAGTTCAATATAACACAAAGAGGGACAGGAATGATCCCCACCCCCTTGTTTTTAACACTGTGAATCTGAGAGAGGGGGAAAAAAGGTGGATGGCACCATGGGAGGATCATGACAGTAGAGCAAATATGGTGGAATGTCAACATCAAACTTATTGTGGCTTTTGCAGCTGGGCAAATCCGTGTTGTGTAAGCACCTGGGGCACAGGCTGCCTTTGCAATCAGGGATGGAGCTTTTCCTTCACAGATAGTGGAGTCAGTCTGAAAATTAGTTTAAAAAGGGATGATACATCCAAGTAAATTCACCAGATCCTGCTTCTGGCTGTACTGACAGAATTACTATATTATTAACATTGTTCTTCCTCACTCTCTTGGCTCTAAGTGTATTTTTACAAGGCTTGTGAAAGAAATAAAAATAAATGAAAGGGTGTTCTGGGCAAATTAGAGAATTACAATCTCCTACACCATTTTGTTTAGACTGTGTGTAAAAATACTGCAGTCAGAAAAAAATCCTGTGTCACAACTGAGAAGTTTGTCTAAAGAGGGTTTTATAGTCCTTGTCTATAAAATCTTGTAATACAAAGCTACAGATTATTCTGTGTTTGGACTTTTTTCCTGCATAAAAACAGCTTCGTTTTTGGTCTCCAAAGCAAATTTCCCGGCAGAACTTCAAATATCCTTTGTCTGTCTCCCTTGGGAGAGTGTTTCCAGGAGCCAGCAGCTCTGTGTACTCCAGCCATTTGCATTCTGTGCTGGAAGTACCCAGTGAAAACTTGTTGCTTAAATCCCGGGTTTCCCACTTGGAAAAATTTGGGCACCTAAAAGAAACAAACTGAAAAGTTTTCACTGAGTGTTTTGCCCAAGGAGCAACAAGAAGGACTTTTCAGTTGAACTCCCAGAGCAAGTGGAGCCCAGATGTTTTTAGTAAGCAGCTTTCAAAACTCACAGTTGAGACCAGTGTCAAATTTCCAGACGCATGATCAACCTTGGAGCCAAGTTTAGAGTTGCTTTTGTGTTTACATAAAGCCTGGAAGCTGAATGGCACTGAAGTTTGTGGATGGAGTGGAGGTTCTCCATAACAAATATTTGACTGGATGCAATTTCTCTTATTTACAGGACTTTGAGCTTTGCGGGGAAAAAAGGAAAAAAAAAAAAAAAAAAAAAGAAGACGGAAAAAAAGAAGAAAAAAAAAAAGAAAAAAAGAAGAAAAAAAAAAGGAAAAAAAAGGGTTACTGTATTTTTGTTTATTTTACATTTGAGGCATATTCATCATTTTCTTGCTCACTGGAATTGGAACAGTTGTTGATTTTTAACAGGGATTTGTTATTATTCTGGCCATTAAACCAGCACGGCCAAATCAAGTGTTTTAAAGCTAGAGGTGAAGCATTTCTACAGGTGAGAAATGACATTTATGCATTCCTGGGCATTCTGGCTCTCTGCTCACACCAAGGCAGCCCTCTCCCTGAAGGTCTAACTGGATGCCTAAGCCACATGCCAAGGTTTTTGCTCAGGGACTGTATCATCAAAAATCTGTCTCAGAATTTACTCTGGGCAAATACTGTCTAGTATTTGTTTAGGAGTCCTGTTTTCTGCCCCTTTGGAAAGGTCATGCACGAGAAGGGCACAGGTAGAGTCAGGATAAATGATATTAAAGTGGGGGTAGGAGGCATGGAAACTTTCCCTTTGGGTATATCTTGATCTCTGACCTAATAACCTTCTGTATCATGTG